TTGCAGTAGCCATCGAACCTCAGCAAGACATACAGTCATTCTGTGTCATGAAGTGCTATGAGGTGATTGAGGTCTACCAAGTTTTGCTGCAGTAGGATATGGTAAGTACAGGAAACATGCACTAGAAAAGAAAGTCTCTGAGGAAGACTCTAAGAAACATTCCTTATTATCTGCTCAAGAGAAATATGGTTTCTATACATCTGGTGGTGCCACTTTGCTGTTAATTGTGTTTCTGAACTGCCACACAGCACTTTCCCTGGGACATCTTGACTCATTCAGTCTCCCCAGCTTTCACTGAGCCAGGGAGGTACCTTCTGCCTCCTCTTCCTGCCAGGACAACAGTTTCTAACATCACTTGCTAGAGCCTGGACTGCCTCATATAGGCTCTATTTCTGCAGAGACAAAGCAGGCAGGTACAAACCATGCAACAACTTCTCAGACAAAATTCTGTGATTCTAAGATTCTATGAAAAAGTTAGGATTCCATCACAATGCCATAGATATGCAGTCCTGGGGGACAAGGGCATGCTCCCAGGCTCAGTGTTGTGGGGGAGCATAGAAGCCAGAATTCAGTCCTTCATGAATGACCTCTCCAAGGCCCTGTTTTTCTCTTCATGACCCATAGGTTAATATTCTCTGCTGCTCACATTCTGTAGCAACATTTCCAAATAACTATACTCAGAAAAATCTAAAGCAGATGTTTTAAGTTGTTTTCTCACTGGCAATAATACTAGTTAATTAGTGTTGGCTTTAAGGGATAGGAAAGGTAGTTACGACACACCGAGCAAGGTGCACATCTCCATCTTGCATAGCATTAAAAAGCATATATAGCTAAAGTGTCTTCAGATGATGCTTTCTCTGCATCTCACAAAAACTAACAACTTAAGCTTCAGAACACCTGTGACGGAGGGATTATTTATTTTCCTCATGCAGCTGAAACAATGCAACAATAAAGCCTAAGATTTTTAAGATCCGTTTTCTAGAAGGAGTCTCAGAGCTTGGTTCACTTGAGCACTACTAACAGCAGATTTGTTCTGGATCTGGTTCAGTCTTATTAAATAAATTGGCTTTTAAAAATCACTTCTGCAAAGCTCCACACCTGCTGCTTCTGCTGGCCTCCCTGGAAGCTGTGCCACATGTGCATGGATGGGTAGAAAACTCCTCTTTGCTTTCCCCAAGTCTAATCATACACTAGCCCCAAAATTGCCACATTGTCAGTAGACGCAGGGATAATCCTTGCTTGGTCCTTGGTCTTGCCACTGGTCCCATTGTCATCCCACAAGAACAGGCTGGCAGTTCTTTGGCAACATGTTCCTGACTCCCTGATGTGTCAGGGATGCACAGCGACTTTGGAAAGTAATGCAGGTGTAGTTACTCAGTTTCCAGCTATGCCCAGTTTCAGCCACAGCAGATCCAGTGCACTTTGCTCATGCTTTCATACCTTGGTTTCAGTTGAATTAATTTGATTTCTCCACCCCAAATGCCTCTTCAATTAGTTCAGTACATGGCTGTGACCCGCTCATCTTGAGCTCCTCAATTGCAGTCTTACCCTATCTTTTCTGCATGCGACCCATGCAATGCAAGCAGACCACCAGAGAAGACCTGGCTGGAAGTATTCCATCAATTTTCACACGACAAAAACATCCCCATTTTATTTTGAAGTTGCTGATAAATACATGAGAAAGCACATGAAGAGGAGATGGTGTTCGGTTTTCTAAACATTTCCAGGAACAGCTCTCGTTTGGAGTGTCTATTCACACACCAGTGTGAAGCTATGTTACACCCAGTACAACAAGGAAGCATTAAAGGTCAATTTTGCTGATGACGTGAATAATTCTTCCCCCAGTGCAACATCAAATTTAACTGAATCATTCGTTTACAGAGAAGAAGCAGATGTTCAGAGTCTTCCACCTTGGCCTACCGTCTGGAACAGAAATGCACTATACGAAGTTCAGGTTTTCAATTGTCTACATATATGCACACATGCACACAAGAAAACAGGCACTACTTCTTGGACAAACCACTCAAAAGAAAAGTAATTCATTCTTTTACCACTTCAGCTCAGTGACAATGGTAGTTCCAAAAATTAGCTCTCTTAGAGACCAGCTCTACCTGGAGAACAGAGAAACTACCAGACATCTTTCCGCACACATAACTGGCTGCACACACAGCTTAGATTCACACAGCCTATTCACACAACTTACTCACATGCTGAGAAAAAAAAAACACTTGAAATGTCATGTTGATGCATTTGCTGATGACACTGATCATACAATATTATAATATAAAATACTTGATGATTTTTGCATGTCCTACTTGCTCTGGTGGAAGATGACCAGTAGTTGGCCCTCTAAGATTTCTGTGAAGTACATGGAGCTGCCTCTGCCTGAGCAAATGGATTCCACAGGCTTTGGAAGATGATGCAATGTCACCATGATTCCTGTTCATTTTCACTGAAGGAAGCCTGTTTTGTTTAATCAGTGCAGCTATTTTTATTTTTATGTCCTCGAATATGACCTCACTAATTATACTGGATGGTCAGTTTACAATATGAAACGATCACTACCTCATAAGAAAATGGAAGTCAAGCAACTAGATGCAAATTAAGATATGTCCATGTGTTGGGTTTGAAAACAGTCATTTTGGAAGCTAATTTTCTATGTGGTCACAGTTAACCCTAGTTCTGATGGGATAGCATTAGAATTTAGTTTTAATTTAATTTAGTTCAGCTTGTTAGAAAAATGTTGCTACTTCGGGTGGTTTTTTTGCTACTAAGTACTAGAGCTGAGGGATTTGAATGTTTATAGAGAGCTGAATATATGACAAATAGGGACTTTTACAGAAATTCCCAAACGGAGATGGAAGTTACAAAATGCTTCCTTTAAGCTAATAATCCCTTGTATTGCAAGTGCTGGCTGGGCTGAAGCATTTCTTTTAAAAAACAGTTGCATGCTTTAAAAGTCTGCAGTCAAGAGGAGGGCAGAAAGCAGTCAAAGGAGCACCTAAAAATATCAAATTATTTTAAAAATATCAAATTATTTAAAAAACACAGCTTAAAAGGTTAAGAAATAAATCATATCCTGAGACTATATAAATCAGAGCTATGCAAATTGGCAGCATAAATTCTGGCTGGAAAGTTTCATATTAATTTTTAAAAAATAAAATAATTCAAATCCAGGAATCTTTCTAAGATTTTTTTCTTGCACCACTGAGGCTTTGGTAAATGCTTCACGTGAAATAACTTTGAATGATATCAATGGAGATGCATCCATTTATTCCAACTGCACCTCAGGAAACTGAAGATGGGAAGCAATACCCTGTACAGTACAGGCAGAGCCAAGAGAAACATTTCATTCTCCACCTGGTTGCAGCAGAGACAATGAGTCCTAATTTCTGTATGGGTGGTTTCTCCACTCATCACCCACCGCCTGGAAAATCCCTGTGTTGTCAAAAATCGTGACTGGGAGGCAAAATGACACAAGCATCATGAGAAATTGCTATATGCTCCTCAGGCCAGCACTGGAGAACGTTACCAAACACCCAACACCCAATGACTGCAGTTGGCTTTGCCAACAAAATTTGTACTCAGCACTTCCCTGACTCAGAGAAACTTTTTATTGTGGCAAGCATTAGATACTGAGTACTGCCACCAGAGACAGTATATGGAGTTAGACAGACCAGTGATCTACTCAAAAGCAAACCCCTGCTTTTTGATCAAAACCCTTCTAACCAAAGTACATATCATGTTTGTTCTAGTCTTTTGCCTGCTGTATTCCATTCCTCTGAAAAGAAAATACAGTTATTATTCAAGTATTTTTTGAGGTGATAGGAAGAAAATTTCACACGGGTGAGGAGCCAGAGTCGTGATGGCTGATGTGTACGTGCTAAGTAGAGGATGTGAACTGGCAGAAGGAACCTCCATCCATGAGCTCTGTGCTGCTCCACATAGCTGTGTTCCTGGGCACAACACCCCCACAGCCCAACCAGTCACCTAGAGAACAACACCACCGTGCCCCTACCCTGTTTCAAGGACACAAAGATGCATAATGCTTTGCTCTGAGGGAATAGCAACAGCCACACCTCCTAGAAGGTGCTCAGAGAGGCAATAAATCTTCCTGAACTCTTGCCAGAGAGGCCTGGTGGCTCAGAGATTAGGGCACGATAATGGTTTCCAGGCATAATTTTTCCCCCATATTGAAAGTATATTCTTTACATCTAGCACATCAGGACAAGGTGGTAACTTCAAGTCTATCCAACAAATTGGAGCATAAAAAATTGATAAATGACACAGTTTATTTTTAGTTTGGATTCTCCCCATTCTATTTAGAGCATGAAGTCCAGAGGCAAAGAATGAAAAAACAAGTCCCATGAAAATAAGTTTTGTCTTAACAGCTGGGTGAGCCAGCAGTGCACACTACAAAGCATCAACAAGGGAGATTTGGGAGCTACAGCCCACCCAGCTGGCACCGCAGCCACACTTGGGTGAATGCTCAGTGTAAGCAGTTCTAACCACGTTTCCTACGCAGAAGCTCAGGTATGAGGCATCAGATTGCTTGTAGACAAAATGTACAAGTCTTGAAGCAATTAAAGTTAGGAGTGGGCAAAGATACCAAACTCTTGATGACTTTCATAAGCCCACCCAAATTTCTGTTTCACCGCTTTTAACTCTCATTGGTTGTTTTCTCTTTGGTCAAAAACCTCAAGTAGACTCAAACTAATTACCATTCTTCCCTGTCTGTCATGTCAACAGGTCAAACATCATTTCAAACAAGTGAAAAATGGGCAGAGCAAACCTGAAGAAACTCACCATTCAGAGAGAAAAAAAGTTGAGACATCTGTTCCTCAGCTCTGAGCAACTGTCAGAAACTGGGCGTTTTCACAGTGATAGACCAGACGTGACACGATGTGGTGATTCTCATGAACAAAATGCGCTTCAGTAACTGTGAGAAGCTACGCTAACATAGTCATATCTGTAAAAGACCTCATCATCTAAGGCATTGGCTAATACAGCAGGATGCAAGCAGTCAAAACACCATAGGCATGCCCCAGTATAAAACTAGACCCAAGCTTTATTGATGTTTGATTTGCTGTGGTACATGGGATGTGATGTGTAGGCAGCGATGATGTGTAGTCATCCTGAAACCCCTGTGGGGGCTCTGCCTTGGTCTGGAGACCACATATGTGGCAGCTTTTTCTCCATGGGCCAAATCTGCCCCACGGTAGTCCATCACCTACTAGCACAGTTACATCTGAGCAGCTGAACTGGATGTTGTTGGCTGCTGTGACATCACCTCCTCCTTGGGACTTCTCTGATCTCAGTGAGAAGGAGATCAGGTAGCCTACAGGGCAAACCTGGAAGCTAGTCCAGGTACCCCACCTGACAAAAAAGCAGAAAGGAATGTCTGGGCTCTGCAAACCACTGTGAAGTGCTCCTTCTACTTACCATGCTGCCCTCAAGCTTAATGCTTGCTCATAGCAGTGACCAGCACAACGTCTGGCTGCAGTCTGGGGCACCTTACTTTCTCCTTTTTTTTTTATTTTTCCTTCCCTTCCAAGGCTGTAAGTTTCTTTTTATTGATATCTTATCAGAAAAACACCAAGAATTCTGAGACTGGATAGTCATGGCTCTGGTGGAAGCTCCAAGGACATCCTGAGCTCACGTGGATTTTATGAGGAATCTTTGACCTGTCTGACAAGTACGCTCTAGGCAGCAGGGAGAGCAGACACTCTGCCATCCGAAGGTGCAGTGCTGTTCGCTTCACCGATATAACTTCTAAATGTATGGTTAAAAACCCCTTTCCTTGCATCTGCCCCAGGTGTTGCATATTTCCAAGAGGGACTCTAGCCCTGGGACTATGCTTGGGTTGTTCACAGTGCTCTGCAGAAACTTCAAGAGCAAACAGAAGGTGGTAATGTGAAGTAATCATGTTTAATTACCCTAAAAATGAATGAACAAAAACACCAACCACCTGCTTTAATTTACTTCATACTACGGCACTATGCAGACGAAGCAAGTCAGAGAAGAGACCCCTGCAGATGGTGACACCTATGGCTATTTTGTGAGCTGGTACATGACAAACACGGGAGAAACCAGTGTTACTTATTCCCCCACCAAGGACTTCACGAATGAGTCATCTTCACAATGCAGGCGTACATCATTCAGAGCTGTGTAATCTCTTCCAAGATGGGAGGGCTCCACCTGAAGTAGAAGTCACACAGGGACAGAGGTTAAGGCAAGGGGAAAGCGACCCAGAAAAAGTCCTTTAAATGCCAGTCATAAACAGTCCCAACTCCTTTCTCTAATGAGAAAGAGAAAATGTCTTGGGAAGCACATGGGAAAAGATGTCTGTCACTGGAAAACTGCAACGTACCTACATAACATTTGCAACATGTTCTTCTCTGTGTTTTCTAGATATTTCTGACCCAACACGTGAGGCAGAGACTCTGAGTCCCAGAAGAGACACTGGTGGAGGCTGCCTCTCACCCTGATTCCAGCAGCAGATTTCAGCACTGACATGGCTTCTGTCAGCACCACCAGCCACAGGCAGACCACTCATCTGCCAGCACACTTCTATCCAGACTGAGAGCAAAACAGTTCTGGCAGTAGTTCTGTTTTTGCTGTATCTAATGGGAGACTCTTGTCCTAAAAGAAAAAAAAAAGATATTTTTCTTTACTGGTGTAACTACAGTGGAAACATTTTCTAGGCTAAAGTTTGTAGAAGACTCATAGTTTTATGTACAGACTACCATACTCAGGAAGAGGAAAAACTCTGCAGAAGGTTAAAATCTGCAGAAGACCCTCCTGGGAGGTGGAGAGCTGTAGAGCAGGGTGCAGGGACATGAGGTGGTGGGAAATAGGCAGAATTTTACCTTCAGCTCAAATCCATTAACATAGCTGTAGTGGCAAAGCTGATGACTCCCTCAATTGCCCCAGTGGCCTCCATTGGACATCTTGATGACAAAGGTGTATTCACGCGCCCCTGTGCCCGGGGTGCAGAGGGAGAGGAGCAGGATGAGGGTAGCTGGCATCACAGAATCACAGAGTCACAGAATGGTAGGGGTTAGAAGGGAACTCTGTGGGTCATCTAGTCCAACCCCACTGTCGAAGCAGGGTCACCTACAGCAGGCTGCAAAGGACCTTGTCCAGGTGGGTCTTGAATGTTTCCAGAGAGGGAGACTCCACAACCTCCCTGGGCAGCCTGTTCCAGTGCTCCGTCACCCTCAGAGGGAAGAAGTTCTTCCTCAATGGGCATAAACTGAGGCATAGGAAGTTCCGTCTGAACATGAGGAAGAACTTCT